TCCGCCCGCCCATTGCCAATCGTCTGCAACACAGCGGGGGGACAGGGCACCCTGAGCAGGGCCGAGGGCACCTGCCCCACACGCAGCCCCGCGGCTGCCTCCCAACGCGGGTGCACCCAGCCTGGGGTGGGTGCTGGGGCCCCAGGCCCAGCTGGGGAGATCCCGTCTTCAGGAGCAGCCTGGCATCGCGCGAGGGTGAGCGCTCGGTGCCGTGGAGCAGAGCTGTGCTGGGGCAGGGAGCGGGCAGAGATGGCTGGGGCACTGCCATGGCCCAGCACCCCCCCCAGCAGGGCTTGTCCCAAACCAACCCCCCAGGGGACAGCACCTCTCCCCAGGCAGCCAGGCTGAACCCAGCTCCCGTGGGGCCGCTCAGAGGCGGGCCAGCCGGGCGGGAGCCAGTACCGTGATCATGTGCGTTCCCCTTCCCCACTCTCCCAGCTCCAGCCTTGACACAAGGCCAGGATGGGTGCCCCTGGGAGGGCTGCCAGCCCCGTCAGCTGTGCACGAGCCATTTGTTGTGGCCCAGGGGCCTCTGTGAGCGCTTTGCTAAAGCCCGGGGGCCTCCGCGTGCCTTTCGGTGCATGCCAGGGGCCTGCCCGTGATGGGTGCTGCGGGCCAGTGGCCTGCGCTTGCCTTTCGGTGCGGACCTGCAGCCTCTGACTACCATTTCGTATGGGCTGTGGCCTCCGCTTGCCTTTCGGTGTGGGCCTGGGGCCTCTGCGTGGGTTTTGGGGTGAGCCCAGGGCTTCCGTGTGCCCTTCGGTGAGGCCAGGGATAGTTTGGGTGCCTTTCGAGGGGGGGTAGGGGCCTGCGTGTGCCTTTCTTTGTGGGCTCAGAGACCCTCCGAGCGCCTTTCGGTGCGGCCCAGGGGCACGCGCGTGCCTTTCGGTGGGGGCCAGAGCCACCAGAAGGTCTTTCAGTGCAGCCCTGGGGGCTCCTTGTGCCTCTCGTAGCAGGCGCGAGGTCTCAGAGCACCTTTTTGTGGGAGCCCAGGTGCCTCCGGGTGCCTTTCTGGGCCACAGCAGTGCCTATGAGTACTGCTCAGTGCAGGCCAAGGGCCTCCAGGTTCCTTTGGGTGAGGCTGAGAGGCCTCCGAGGGTGCCTTTTGGGGTGGCCGAAGGCCCAGGAGTGCCTTTTGGTGTTACGTCAGCTCTTGCTGTGGGCCCGGGATCTCTGCGTGCCTTCTGATGCGTCCTGTGTCCTCTGTGCGCCTTTCAGTGTGGGCCATGGCTACCTTGTGTGCCTTTTGGTGAAGCTGAGGGGCCTCTGGGTGCCGTTGTGTGCAGCCTGGGGGCCCCCCCTGCCCCTTTTGGGGCCAGCCCTGGGGGCTCTGAGTACCTTGCACTGAGGCCGGTGATAGTTTGGGTGCCTTTTGCCAGGACACCTGGCAGGGACTCTAGGGTACATTCCCTCGCTGACCACAGGCCTTCAAACATGGTCCTACCATTGCTCCTGCGCAACTGCCTCAAGAGCTACAAATGTCCAAATTAGCACAAGAGGCACAGGCAGGTCACGTTTTCAAAATAAGTTAGTCCAAGGCTGGTGTCTCAGGCGTGGAGTTAGGTGGGCTTTCCACCTACCCCATCCACCTGAGGAGAATGAGGTAGAAGCAAGATGGGAAGGGTTGCTTGAACAGCAACTCACATGGGGTAGTAGGGACACTCCTTGGGGAAGAAAGTTAGGGGAGGCTGCGCGAGCCTGCCGAAGGACTCCTCGGTCCCCTTTATGTTGGGTCAGAACAGCAGCTTCATTTCTGCAGCGCTTAGAACAGAGAGCGCATGGCATCAACAGCCACCCGCAGCCTCACCACCCAGGTCGCCACCTGCCCTGGGGGACGAGGCCTTTTATGGGCTCCTGGCAGCTTCGAGAAGCTTCCAACCAACGAGCGCTCAGGCTCGGAGCCCTTTCCTTTGATGGGACGCAGCAGCCGTCCCCCTTCGTGCCGCAAGGCCGGTTGGAGCCGGTTTCCACTGGCGCCCCTGCCTGGAGCCTGTGTGGGAGGGAAGGTGCTGGGGAGGGGGGGTGGGGGGGGTGGAGAAGCGGTCCTGATGGGCCTCAGCCAAAGCCTCTGCAGGAACGCGGGCCGGGTCGGAGACGCTAACGCTCACGTTCTAGGAGGAGACACCAGCCCCCAGCAGGATCCCGCTCCCCTGGAAGGGGCTGTGCAGTCTGGCGTCTTACACAGCTGCACCCACGTAAAAGTGTCAGCGAATCCCAGCAAGGGCGGGCGATGCCCGCAGGCAGGGGAGCCACCCGGCCTCCTTCTGGGAGCCGGTGGACTGTCGAGCTCGTGGCTCGCGTGGGCAGCACGCGCTTTGCAGTTTCCCTGGTTCCCGCTGCCACTAAGGCGACACCAGTAATAGTTGCCCAAAGATTTCCCGAAAGATTTGCAGTGTGTACCGCTGAAGCACGTGAGTTTTCCCCTCAGATGCGATGGGACAAGGTGACTGTTAGTAAGATTGCAATGGAAACCACCCTGATATGCTCAGTGGCTTAAGCCCCACTGGAGAAGCAGCAGTTAGAGAGCTTTCCAGCGCCTGGGGAGCCGCTGGACTGGGTGCAGGGGTGTTGAATTGCATGGCCTTAGAAATCGTTAACAAGAGTGTCTAGAGGAGGGCAATTAAGCAAACAAGATGTAATGGGTCAGACTATGGCCATGGGAGAGGAAACGGACCCAGTTACGAAAGCCCTGGCAATTGGTCTACAAACGTGGGAAAAGCACCAGCAGATTTTGAAGGTGATGTATAGCAGTGGTGACGATTTTCTGTCTAGCACCAGCAGTGCTGTTGCTTGCGTTACCAGGAGCTGCAGGGCTCTGGAGCTTCGAAAGGGCGCCTGCAGCAAGGCTGGTGCCTCCCTGGCACCAACAGCCCTCCTGGCCTCCTCGATGCCGGCCATGTGCGAGCAAGGCTGGGGTTTCGCTCAGCTCCCTTCCTTGCACAAGCTGCCTCGCAGCCCCTATGACAGGCCGTGGCCAAGGCGCAAGGCCCTGCAGCGAGGGGGCTGGACGAGGGATGTGCTGCACTTGATCGTGCCAGGCAGCACCCTCCGAGAGACTCATACTGCTTGGATTTCACTAGCTACTCCAGCCTCCTTATGGGGCCAGGATCAGCGCCCCTGGGCAGGCTGTGCTGCGGTTCCTCCTTCCCTTTGTGCCACGGTGGTTGCACCCACGGGGCTCCCCAGCATCTCAGAACAACTCTGAGGGCCAGGACTCTGCCCAGGACTGCCAAGAGGGTGTCTTCAGAGGTGTCCTGTGGGCCTTGGGCCTCCCGTGCTGGGCCTGAGCCAGCACGTCCATGGGGCTGCGTGTGCCTTTCTTTGTGGGGGCTGCAGGAGGCTGGCCAGCTGGGAAGGATGGGGCGCGGGGGGGAGGAGCACCATAACTTGCCATTTCTCAGGCGCTTCTGTTGCAGAGGGCCCAGCTGGAGCATGGGGAGGCTCAGCCCTGCGGCAGCTTGGCAGCAGAAGGGACACCTCTGGGGCCGTGCTTGCTGCCTCTGCCCACCAAGGCACCAGCACAGGTGCAGGTGTCCCTGAGGGCATGGACAGGGAAAGCACGTGCATCTGCAAGCCTAACCAAGCTGCCCCCCTGCAAGCATCCTCTGGCTCTTCAGTGTCCGAGGTGCGACAAAGGCCTGCAAAGGAGTTCCCAGAAGCTGTCTCCAGGGAGAACTTCCCTCTCCTAGAGGTGCTGGGATGACTTGGGGCTCAGGCAAGAGCTGGGATGGCTCTGGCCTCAGGAGGCAGAAGAACAGGAGCCATTCAACCTTTCTTGGCCTCCCCTTCAGCTCCCCAGGTGGG